TCTCCGACAGGATCGAACCTGCTCCGTATGAGGAACCACCATTAATCCTGACGTGCTATAACCGTTCAGCCAAAGAGAACTTCCGTTTAAGCTAAGTTCGAATTAATGCTTTTAAACACATACGTTCGCCTATCTTTCTCGATCTATTATATCATTAAGCCTGATAGATCAGCGAAATTGTCTGTTTAAAAGTATTCCCTTGTTCAAATTTAAATTTAATTTAAATCAAAGGGAAAAGAATTCACTGTGAGGTTTGTGCAAACAGAGCTTGATTTGATCCCTATGATATGTATTTGATGCAATACTTGATTGAATGAATTGATGAGAAGATTTCCACATTGATATTCACAGTTGAATTGTCACAACAAATGTATTTTAAGGCATTATCCACTCATTGATGATTTCTTGCTCAACTTGACGTCCATATTGTCTCATTTAGATCTTGCCGACGTAACCGCCATCTTCTGGATTTCTCCTATATTTTGGATCGGAGTTATTCCCTCGTTCAAATTTAAACTTAATTTAAATGAAAGTGGGAAATATTTCAAGGGCGGGGAGTGTTCCTTGACCCTCCTTGATCAAAATGAAGTATAAGTATTAAAGTACCCTGGGTAATGTACTTTCAGAATATATACGGTTATGGGGGTCTATCTCCAAAAATCTAGGAGGAGTTCGATAACAAACAGACAGATAAAGGCTACAAATTTATATATAGAGATTGTCGGATTTAATCTGTATCTTATGATATACTGTCATTGTTTACGTTAAGATATGAACCCAGAGCAGATATGATAGATCGAGAAAGATCGGCGAAAGTGTGTGTTTAAAAGTATTAATTCAAGCTTTGCTTAACCGGAAGTTCTTTGTGGCTGAACGGTTATAGCACGCCAGGTGTAGTGGTGGTTTCTCATAAGATACAGGTTCGACTCCTGTCGGAGAACGCATATTTTCTGCGAAATTTCTCGAACATTCAGACCGGTAAATGTAATTAATACTGTTTAATTAAAGAACAGAGTATTTACTTAAATAAGTGTATCCATAAAAGATAACGTATAAACAGAAAATATATTAAATAACTAGCGGATTAAATCCATTTCCTATTATATATATTTTTCTTTATTTTAAACAAACATGGAATGAACTTGAGAGGAGAAGAAAGTATCAGGGGACTGGCAAAATGCAATAGTCGTGTCAGTATGGAAGACGAAAGGTAGCGAAAGAGACTACAATACCTACAGAGACATATCACTACTCAGCCATGTAGGGAAATTGTATGTAAAGATCCTTGAGCAGCGCACTCGAGTAAAAACAGAACATCTCAGTGACGCTTAGTTTGGTTTTAGGAAAGGAAGGGGTGCTTCGATGCAATCTTTGCACTCTGACAAGTGTGTGAGAGGGCGATGGAACACGACCAATATCTCCATCTGATATTCATGGGTCAGGAAAAAAGTTTCAATCGAGTCAACAGAGATAAGATAATGGAGGTCCTCGGGCAGTACTTGGTTAAGGGGCAGCTACTAGACAATATACGGGCCATTTACACTAACAGCAGGAGCGCAGTGCGCACGGCAAGTGGTACGTCTGACTGGTTTCCAGTAACATTTGGTGTTAGGCAAGGCTGCAATCTCTCTCCTCTATTGTTTGTGATATACATGGACCAGATTACAAAGTAGGCCAATCCAAATCCTAAGGCATTCAATGAACTCATGTTCGCCGACGACCAGGCAGTGATGAACAACGACAGATCCAGCTGCAGGAACACACTGACCGACTCCTCAAGCTGCGAGAAATACGACATGAAGATCAGTATCAATAAGACCGAGGACATAACCATCAAGAGAGACCTGAAAAACTGGACATTAACATCAATGGGACCCAGCTAAAGTAAACCAATGAATTCAAATATCTGAGCAGCATATTTACTGAAAATGGCAAACTAGACAGAGAAATTGAGACCAGATGTCAGAAATCCAACGCAGTCAGTTACCAAATTCCACCTCTTCTAAAAATTCCTAGCATTTCCATGAGCACCAAGGCAAATCTCTTCAACGTCATTTTCCTACCAACGCTGACATACCAGTGCCAGACATGGCCCCTAACAAAAACCCTTGCGAGGAAACTGATCACTTGTGAGATGAAATTCCTGAGGAAAGCAGTGAAGAAGACCAGGCAAGATCAAGAATGAGGTAATAAGAGATATGGTTGGAGCAATACCAATCATACAACACATCGAACGGCAGAGGATCAAGTGGTTCTGATACCTCACTTGTATGTCTATCAACCAACCAGCCCTACGAGCATACACCCTTAGGTACTCTGGATGGAGAGCGAGAGCCAGACCAAGAAGACACTCGCAGAGCCCACGAGATATATCTCCCCCAGGCCACTCGCCTTGCCGCTGACAAACGATTGAGTCCCCCACAACGCCTAATAGTCCAAAAGCGGAAGGAAAAACAAAACAAAACAAACAAACATGAGTACCACTCAAAATTACAGGCGATTTTGGACGATCAAAATAAATTTAAAATGTTAACTAATAACACCACCTCCCAATTTAAAAACTATATCAATAAACTTATTACTGCTAACAATGCTGAAATAAAATCCTTTAAACATCAAAAGATTATAGGTGACTATCAACCTGGCTACCTTTATGGAAATATAAAAACCCATAAAAAGATCTTCTCTTCCGACCTATCATTTCACAAACACCTACACCAGTATATAGCCCTTCAAAAACCCTTAACAAACTAATTACTCCATACCTCCCAAATAAATATTTTATTAACTCTAGAAACGAATTTGTACAAATTCTTCAAACAATGACACTAATAAACCCCCTATATATGTAAAATACATAGTTGACATTTTCATTTTAGCTAAAAATATTGATCAAATTACACAACTTAAAAACAAATCTGAAACTCACTCCGCCCTCAATTTTACGCTAGAACTCAACATTAATAATAAAATTCCATTCCTTGATGTACTTATACATTCCAGCACACATGAATTTATTACTTCTCTATATAGAAAACCCACTAAAATTAATTCATGTCTTCTTAATTATAATAGATATAATAGATTATAAAAATACAACGGCATAAGTCAGCTGTATTTACAAATATCTTCTTCCAAAACCATATTCTATAAAGAATTACATATCATCAAACACTCATTAATAATGGATTCCCTAGTTCCGTCACTGATCAACAAATTAAAAAGTACTTCAATAAACTTAATAATACCTCTAACAAAACTGATAATGTTAATAATAATTGTAATCACAATAGTGTACGTCAAAAGAAACATAATACTATTAACTTATAGTATTGTAACCAAATACATAATAATTACAAACAGGATAAAACAATATTCATAATAGGTATCAGTATTAAACCCATTAATAATAAACAAATTAAGCTCATCATATATTATAAACAAATTAAAACAATTTACCTAATAGTCTCCAATAACCTTACAACCACACAACTAAATCTAAAAAAAAACAATGTAGTGTATCAATTTACATGCCCGTTCAGAGATTATATCTCTGATAATAATAATAATAATAAACCCAGTACATAAATTGGTTTTACTACAACCACACTCTCCTGTAGACTTACCTGTCACTTTTCTGATCTTAGATCCATTAAACAACATTTCTTAGAAAAACATAACTATGTATATAATATTAAGCAGATATTAGTTAATACAACAATACTCACAAATACACACGGTAAAAAGAACCTTAAGATATTGGAGGTCATTTATATTAAAACAAGGCAACCCACACTCAACAAAATTACATTTCGAACCAGCCACAACATATTACAAATGCATATAAACATATGGTTCTGTTGATAACATTTCTTTCTCTCACGTGATCATGTACGACGTCATTACGTCGGCATTACGAATTTATGACCTGCGTCTGCTATTCCGCAAGCGTTATCGTCACATAGAAAACTTATATGCAAACAAAACAGGATGTTAGCTTTGACGGTGAACATCTCCATTGTCTATATAACCACTCTAATAATGCTTCATGTGATCCGGAAACTTAGATCAACGACCCATATAATAGAGAAATATCCAAATGTTGGACAGTATTTTTTTATATTCTCTTGAAACTAAAGCAATTATTCGACGCTTGGAAAGGCTCATGATTAAACATAATAGACATTCGTTGCCTGTTATATTTAACAATATGTATTTGAATATATATATATATATATATATATATATATATATATATATATATATATATATATATATATATATATATATATATATATATATATATATATATTCAAGTTAAATAAAATATGACAGACAAAGGTGGTTTAAGTTTTTATATAATTTCTCATATTCTTTTTTTTCTTTTCAGTAGATAAATTATATAAAAACAGTATTATATAATATCATCTATGAACATGGACACAATATGTTGACCGTGTTTACACAAATGCGTACATAGATACAACAATCTATTTCTAGTTAACAGTTAATATATTTCAATCTTGAAAATGGCTAAATGCATAGCCGAAAGCGCTCGGAAAAACAACATTTGGACAGTTTTTATGTAATTTATCTACTGAAAAGAAAAAATTATAAGACCACATGAGAGATTATATAAAAAAAAATTTAATCAAAGCACCTTGTCTGTCATATTTAATGAAACTTGCATGAAAGAAGGATTGCTGCCTAAATACAATATATATATATATATATATATATATATATATATATATATATATATATATTACGTTACCGTTATTTTAAAACAATGGACATGTCATTCACGGAATATAATGATCTGAGGATAATATAAACTAACACCGAAATATCAAAATTCATTATACCTCTGGTTAATCAATTACTGATTCATACAAGTATATATTTACACCCAGACAATGTTTATGTGTGTCCGTGTATGTTATTTGTAACACGAACAAACAAACAAAAACAAAACACAAGAGAAAAACCAGTTTCCTTACCTGTGAACGTTGTTGTAAAATCCTAATGGTTTCGTTATTTAGAAAATCTTTCCAATAAATCTCTCCCTTGTCCTCAATGTCCATGTGATTAAAATGTTGCATAGTTTTTCGCATTTCTTCTGGTTTCATGTCTTCACCGTATACATCGTAGTGTTGGCCGCGACGGTAGCGTAAATAGTTGGCATGACTGACTGAAATGTCTGCAAAATGTAAAACAAGACAGAAATTAACATGATTCTGTCTTTTTGTTAGTTTATAATGACTGAAACACGATTATTTAAAGTACGTAATAAAAATTTGAAAAAGAAATATTACATGAACAGACAAAAAAAACTATTCATTTGAAATTCGGATTAGTATTAGAAAAGTTCTTCCTAAATGTCTTCATACGTTTACATGTTTCTATCAAATGACTGATGTTTTCATTATCAAATATATATAAAGTGACGTCGGTAGTAACCGGCTATGGTAAGCAGATAACCAACCAAACTTTTATATTAAAGTAAAAAAAATAAAAAATAAAGATGTCTGAAAAGAGGAGAATGTCAATGACGATTTTATAGAAATGTGTTATATGCCTTCTCTCCGACCCTGAAAATGAAAACTACCGGATGTTGCAAAAGCTGTCTTTACTCACAAGTCCTGCACATCGTATACCAAAAAGCAGTATCTACTCACTGTGTCTACCAGAAGACTGTTCTCAAAACGGGAGTCCGCTGATTGATATTTCCGCTGACTGGCCAAGCGCGATGCAGACTAATTACGGAAGAGGAACGAAAGTTAATGTAGCAGATGTTCAACGTTGGAGTCTTAGTGACTGCAAGTCTCCACAAATCTCTAGTATCTTTACTTCCTCCAACAGTGCCATTGTATGAATTCTGCCTTTAAATCCTAATTCATGTGATTTCACATGCAATGTTTTCGTTATTGTTCCCAGTGCACCAACTCTTATTGGGACAACCGTAACCTTGGTATTTCATACACTTCTTGTCTCTTAGGCAAGGTTCCGATATTTTTTCACATTTTTCGCTGTGTCTTTTATTTGCCCTCCGTTATTTCATGACACAGCAACTTTTACGTTCAAACAGACTTCTTTCTTTATTTACAACGATCAAATCCGGTTTTCTTAAATGGATGGGAGTGCTCACTCAGAATATCAGTATTTGTTTTTTTTCTACAACCTCATATTTGTGCTGATACTATTTGTTTACATGGCTAAACCCAAGTCATTTGCACAGTTCTCAGTATATAACTATTCCTACTTGTGAAACCTCATTGCATTCACTTGTAATTCAGTTACTGTAATACCCCATGTATAATATGCCTTCATTCATAATACGCACGCCTAAAATTGTGCAGAAAGTGTGGGAAAATGTTTTTACTCGTGCATAATACGCACCTCTTGTTTGGCAATCAAACCCTATAAATTGTACCTCTCCAATTTCATTACAGCCAGTGTTTCCTACTCTTATTTAAAAGAAAAATGGTTTTAAACATAGAATAATATTTTTCTAATTTAGTTTTATGATAATTTTTATTTTATTTTACGGCAATTTTTTTAAGATTTTTTGTAGCTGGACATAATACGCACTCCTGATTTTGCTTATTATTTTTTTAGAACAAAATGCGTATCATAGATGGGGAATTACGGTACTTTACCGTCTCATTTTTTTCTTCACAGTGGCAGCAGTTTTCCTAGTTGTTGTTTAATTGTTCTTTTATCCACGTTTTCCTCATTCATTCATTCTGGTCTACACGAATCAAAAGCGGTTCAATTTCTTTTTTCGTTGATCGTTCGTTTTTACAAGTTTCTAACTTTTAAATTCTTCGTGTAAAGTTTCCTCTTCCAATTTTTCTTTCCGTCTTATGTCCCCCATCATTTCTGTATTTGTTCGTGAATTTGCAAAGTATTAAATGGTGGCAATGTTCTTTATTATTATTATTATTCTCTTCTTCTTCTTATATTATTATTAATGAGAATAATCAGTGTGAGAGCAACACAGCAAGAAAGAAGTTGTCGTTCATGGTTCTCCACAACTTCCTATCCTATTTGGTTCTAAGAAGTGTTTGTTCTCTTACTTACCATACCGATCACTGTGCTGCAACCCATTTACACAAATTAGATATGTTTCTCTCGGCCCCTAAGTGTCAACTTCTCCAAGTCCTCCTTCATCATTATGTGTCCCAGAAATTTCAACTGTCGTCTATACAAATCCCAATCATGATACCCAGTTTGATAAACGTATTCAGGCACATACATCACGACCAAATGTACGCAATATGGTGACAGGTTTTTCTAACCTTGCAAGTGGGGCTCAGTTAGAAATACCTTCGAGTCTTGTAAACTCGTCCACTCAACCGGTCTCCAATTGAAGTTGTTCCCAAGTATTTCGAATCTCAATTCAACTTGTCTGCTTTATTGTTCTAGCTTTTAAAAAAGTGTTATATAGGAATAAAGTGTCGCTGTCGACACTGGAGTTTGAACACAGATCATCAGAGTGCAAACACCGGCGATCCCATTTTGAATAAGTAGATCATGTGATGGTAAGGGAAACGTATATATGGGAATTAGTGTGGTGTCTAAGAGATCACTATTTCTACGCTATCCTCTATTACTATACGGATCACTGTTTCTACACTATCCTCTATCTCTATACAATTCACTATACTATTTCTCTATACTCATCACTATACGGATTACTATTCGGATCACTATTCGGTGGTTACTTTTCAAACGAGTATTATCGAGCAAGTACTATTATTGCGAGTGTTATTCGAAGGAGTCTGACACCAGTATTGTTCAACGGTGTTAATATAGTTGTATCTGCGATTACAAAGTCCCTACTACAACGAGCATTAGGAGAGTAACAACGAGTATTCGTTAACATTACAAAAGTAGCAACGAGTGTTCGCTGACATCAGAAAAAAAGAAAAATACTCGACTCGACCACAATGCTCCACTACTACTCCTTCTCATGAACAGATATGAACAGGGCGTTACTCCCTTGGGCATATGCCCAACTGGTTATGGTCAAATAACTGTGGTATTGAATGGGATATTTACAGTAGCCCTTCTGAACATGTTAACGCTTCTAATCATTCAATCCATGAGAGCCGTTCCTGGTGCAACATTATTATTATTATTATTATTATTCATGCATTTGCGTGATAACACTAGATATCTGATGATAATCGTTGAGGGTTGAGAATAAGTCCTCCTTTAAATCTGCAGGACACTTCTCTCAATATTTTCACAGATCCCAGTAATACAAAGCCTACAAAGCCTTAATATTTCCTCGGATTTTCAACTGATGTAATAAGGATTTTTGGTTCAGTGTACCTAGTTTTTTGAGTATGGTTCTAAACTACATATTGATATGAGTTCTTACTTAGTGTCATGTTTGAATTGAAATTACGGATTTTCCCAAAATCACAACGCAACTCATCAAAGAAAATCAAGTTTCGAGCTAGGACGACTGTAATTGCCTTCAAACTCAGTTGATTAAATTCAAAGTGATAACTTCACTGACTGAATTTACATAAAAGAAACAGCGTCATAATATAATAAATATTCTTTCTAAACGATTAATGACGTTATAAGAAATTTAAAATGGAATTACTCATATTCTTTTAAGTACAAACATAAGTGGAATTTTCATTTAGACTTTTCACTGACGACTATATTTTTTCTTACCTGATTAACCCACTCTTATTTTTTTTCTTCTTCTGGGGAGAATGAAAAACGACTATCATGATATCGAACTTCAGGATCTTTTACAAGATATTTCTTTATGAAGCAGTCATCCATGAATGAAAAGAAAACTGCAATTTAATCTTTCTTCCGCTTATTTGTACGAATCATCTTTCTTTCCCCTTAACTTTCTTATACATTTGAGAAGTAATCAAGAATCTGAATTGTGGATTGATTTCTATGATTTGAGGGTGAAATTTGACTAATACGGGTTTGTTCGAGAAACATTGCATAATCTCAATAGCAAACATCTCCATAATTTAGCTGCACATGCGCACAGTCAGACGGAAACGTATCTTCAATCTAGAGTCAGATCCAGATTAATGGCAGGGATATCAACGAAGCATGAACCATAAGTGTTTCTATTCTTCCTAAATCCACCTACCTTCTTTTCCCTTATTCTCTTTGTTTATATTACTGGATGTGCCAGGAATGGATAAATTTTCCCCTTGGATATCTATGTGAATAGAATAATAAATCATTTACACTTACACGTCGAAAGTGTAAGAAGCCTGGAACAATGCAATGCAAGAATAAAGCAACGTTCATTGTTCATTGTTATGAAGAAACATTTCAATAGGGATAGATTCGAGCATGTTTAGGTTCAAACAATGTCAGTTTTAGTGCTATTGCTACGATAGTACAACAGTTTGCCTAGCAACTAAATTAAAATTCAGCAAAAATGAATCTGTGTAACGTTTAGAGGCCTGGGGAAAGAAATCAGCAGGCCGAATTCAAATTCTGGTTGAATCCGTTACATTGGGAAAGGTATGAATCCATCTCTTTCCACTCTTTAGCTATGGGTTTAATATAGGGAAAAATAGAACCTCTAGCCTTGGCTGGCAACCCATGTAGAAGAAGGACAACTCTGAATAGAAAAGCAATCTGAAGAAGAATCAAGATATATTGCCTTAGACACACGCATTCAAACTGCGGTTCCAACGAATCTAATTAACTACGAGACTCGTGCATATGTACAAAACTGAATTTATACTTTCATTATCTCGAAGAGGATCCGCTGAATATCTCTAAGTATTTTTGTAATTTGGTAACAGAACACAAAGCATAACTACTTTACATGTGACGTCAAAAATGACTATTGTACTTGAGTCATTTTTGCAATTGAATTGTTTCTTTTCTTCCTAAGTAATATAAGATTCTTATTTAACAATTAACTCTGTTGTCTCGTGTAAGAAAGTGTTCTGTTTTCAAGCCAAAGAAAAAGAAACCAAACAAAAGAAATTAAATGTAACAGTAGGGAGTTGTGCTAGATAATCTTGATATTATTTATTGGAACTTCGGGAAAAATAACTAACTGACTCTATAATATAAAATAAATAATATATTTTGATTTATTTACTTTAGAGTAATTCCTTGGCTAACCGGTGTGAGAAAATGTTCGTTTATAAGGCGGATATTGGTAGCAACCTGGAGAAATGTCCCTTTCGG